TATTATACGGGTGCCGTACTATATTGGGGACCTAAAACATAAGTGCTCTGTAAGGCTTCCTTTTTAGGATCCCTGTCAGTGTTCTACTGGGATTATACGGGTTCCTATAAGGGTAGTTCTCTAAACTAGGGTTTATTTTGGGGTCCCCAATATAGTACGGCGCACCCTTATAAAAAAGGACCCCTAGAAGGGACCCCAACTTAGAGAACTACCCATAAGTGTTCTGTAAGGCTTCCTTTTTAGGATCCCTGTCAGTGTTCTACTAGGATTCCCAGGAGGGGTTCCTTATTATGACGGCGCTTTCGTTTTTTCGTAAGCAGGCGTTGATCTGGGTGCTCCTTGTCCTTCGCGATCAGTTTTCATGCTGGTTATGCCACAAACCTTCATTTTGGATCCAAGGGGCTAATTCAATGTATACGACCCATATGATCAAAAAGCCTAAACCCATGACCCTCAACCCACTGCTCTTCTCTCTGTCTTGGCGTGATGGGTAGCTCGGGTCTAGACGCGTTTCGGGTTTGAGGGTTTAGGGTGCAGGGTTTAAGGGTTTCAGGGTTCAAGCCTCAGGCTCAAAAGTCTCGTAGTCAAGTCCTAATCCTCTAAGAAGACGCAAGAACCAAGACAAGCCTACAGAACCCTTTAAAGACCTGATATAGCCGTAGTCACAGCCCTGCCAGAAAACTTGCCATTTTAAGGAGTGATATATAGAAACCATAGATCATAAGGAGCCCGAAAAGGGTAACTAAGGGTATTCATTTTCCCGCTAGAGGTAGAGGTGAGCTGAGGTGCTCAAGGATCACCACTACGACCCCTGGAACTGGCATGAGTATCTTTCAGACGAGCCAGAGGCCTCTTGGCTTGGAAGTGGGGGCGAATCTTTCTAAAGCTTTGGGAGGTTTACGGTTTAGGCCTTCCGGGTTTAGGGATGATGCGTTCAGGGGTGAGAACTTGGGGTTCGAGGGTCTTTGAGTTGAGGGTGGCTGTTGCGCCGGCTTCTTGTTTGGCCGTGACTTGCGGTGCAGAGCTGAAGGGTGGAACTCGAGAAGGCACCTCCCTGACCGAAAATTCCTAGACTGAGCTTTTGAAGCAGAAATCCCTGGAGGGCTCGGCGGGCCCAGTGCTCGCTGTCTTGATCGTAGCACTTGTCATAGAAGCATTACCAGCAATGGGGGCAGCAGAAGTAGCAGAAGTGGCAGATTCCACTGTCTCGCCAGCGGCAGTAGGAGCAGAGGCAGGAGCAGTATGCAAATTACTAGTAATCAGAACTGTAGGCGTCAAACTCATCATAAGGTCCTTTCATAGCATAGCGCACACAAGAGTTGTCGTCGTTGAAGCATCCACCTTCCAAAACACAATCGGACACACCCTACCCGATTTGATGCTCAGAGCCCGGAGCAGTGCGGCTGGGCTTCTCGTAGCAGCCGAATTAAAGATGAAAAGCGCAAACAAGCATCGTAGTTCTCATAGGCTGTCGTACTGGAAAATCCGTAACTGAACAATACAGGAAAACTGCGGCGAGCATCAGCCATCATACCCACGATGATAACCCTCTGATAACCGAGCTTGTCGCAGAAATGGCAATCATTATTCATGGGCACGTGCAGAGCGAGAACAGTTTGTTGTGTCGTAGCGCTTTCGAGGACCTTTCGTCCGACTGCGTGCATGGTTAAGGCCAGCAGCCATCAACGACAGTAAGTTTTTGTTGCTGCACGGCTCAGCGTCGTCGTCGTCGTCGTCGTCGTCGTCGTCGTCGTCGAGTCGTCGTCGTCGTCGTCGTCGTCGTCGAGTGGCCGCAATACAGGGCAGGGGACTGGAAGCAGGGACATCTCTAGTACACCTCCCAACCCCACTCTAATTATCAAGGCCCAGACATTCATCGTAATGTCAGACGGTCCGGCAGTCCAAACCCACTAGCTGGACTGGTTTCCAAAAGGGGTAGGGGTCTGCAACACCCGAACACCACAGAGTTTTGGAGTTCAGTGCCTTTAGGGTTAGGGTTTAGGATTTAGGCGGTTCTTCGGAAGAGCCCAGGAGGGCGAAGAGGAGGAAGAGGAAGAGGAGGACAGTGGGACTGGGCTTTTTCGGACCACAGGGACCTGAATAAGGAGCAATTGTATCTCCAGGAAGTTCGTAAACAAATCATACTGTGATGTAGTTTCACCCGAAATGTTATTCTAATGGCTATTCTATTGGCTAAGGTCCGTGTATGAAGGCTGCGCTCAAAATCTTAAACCGACACAGCGCGCGAACTCTGTGAGTGCCCATTGCACGCCCGGGTTTCAGCTAGCCTTCGAAAGCCTCTTGGGAGGGTTTGTACGGGGGTTTGGGGGTGCTGGCCCCAAACCCTAAACCCGAACCCTAAACCTTAAACCCTAAACCCTAATCCGAAGCCGAAGCCCTGAAGCGACGGCATATTCCCGAAACCCAAGGACTCCGATATGCTAAACTAATCTTAAACAACAAGACCCCCTCGGCCCTCCACCTCGACGTTCTGGTTGGTTGAAGGGGTAGCCTATGGCTCTGACGAGTTAGTAGCAGTGACCCCGTGTAGACCCTAGATAACGAAACCACAATGTGTACGCCTCCTGAAGGCCCTATCACTCTTGTTGATGCTTGTTCCTACATCATATATGAGACCGAACAGAAAGTTTTTTTTAATGACCCTGTAAGTTTTCTACGCCAGCTCGTATCAAATCGTTTTGGAAGCGTGTTGAGGGAGCTTGATCTGACGCTAGAAGAGCCTTTTATGATAGCACCCTGCAGGATTTCTACAGCATCTTTACATCAAGCTCTTTTGACTGATCTCGATCTTTCTAGCCCTTAGAAGTCTGACTATCAAACACTGCAGAATCTCCACACACACACCCCCTCATGAAAACCGGAAGCTGTTTTTCAAGGCTCCTGTCTTAAACCCATCAAAAACCCTTGAAAGCACCTGCAGTAAATCTTTATACATCCTTCCTCGAATCAGATTATATTAGATTATGGTAGACTATACTAGATTATAGCATGTTATGGTAGACTAGGTTAGATTGTGTTGTGGTAGATTATGGTATATCGTTTGAAGGAGCTTTTCAAGGATCTGGAGATGCTGGCGCTCAAGCCGCCCCCTGCCGGATCTAGTGTTTTTGGGGATTCTCTTGCTTTTAGTTTAGGGTTGAGGGCCCTATCACCCAAACCCTAAGCCCTGAACCGGTTTAGGGTTAAGTTTAGGTTGCAGGGTGCAGGGTGGAGGGTTTCGGGTTCAGGGATTGAGCTTAACGTTGAAGATGGGCTGTGGTGCTTTGGTTAAGGTTTTCGGTTTGGTGCCTCGTTTCCGTGCAGAGGAGTCGAGGAAGTAGTGATGGTCGGTCGAGTAAGCATGCAGCATGCGGGGCTCTCGCATCTGTCTATCTATCTGGACAAGCTAATCTAATCTACTGCTATCTGTATCTACCTGAGTTGGAAAAACCGGTCTAAGTATCTGCCCAAGTATCTGCCCAAATATCTATGAAAGCATTTAGCTATCTATCCATCCATCGATCGAGCTAGCTAGCTATCTATCGGACATGAGCACTGAGTCTTCCCCCGCATTGTCGCGCACTACTATGAACTGCCCTAAACCCTAAGCACCTGTAAGGAAGCGGCGCAAGAATATCGACAAGCTCAAAGCGCACCTTCTTACGGCGCCTCGGTTTTCGCAGGAAGGGAGGTGCACCACGGTATGGGGTAACCCTCGGGTTTAGGGTTTAGGGTTTATGTTCTAGGGGAACCCTAAGGTAGCTGGTTTGACATCGGTCAGTTCGTGGTCCAAGTTTGGCTGGGGGGGGTTTCTTCCTATGGGGTCCTTTGGAGCAGGTTTTTCACCACTTGGGAGCTCTATCGGCATCTCTTTGCTTTCTGCAGTTTCCTTGTGTTCGGCTTCTGTGGCTTTGTATGCATCTATGCTCTTGTTGCAGGTTCGCTCGCTCCCAACGAAGTCTGCCAGCCATCTGTTCGTTTGAATCCAGGACGTGTTATTGTGCCGATGCCATTCCTAGCATATTAGAACGCAGGCCCCGCAACTCGCGGTCCTGACTGCGGCTTCAGGTTCAGATTGGGCGTAGGTTTCTGCGCCAGATTCCCCAGAGACTCCAATATCCCTTAATTAAGGAATATACCTTAAAATTATAGTAGGATCCCTAATATGATTTAAGGTATGTTCCTTAATTAAGGGATACTGGAGTCCCTGGGTCATTGCGTAATGACCTTTAGTTCGGCTGCTTACAACGAGGTCGGCAAAGGCTTCTGTGCATAGTTCCGTAGCCGTAGATCAGAACCAGAACAGGGCCCGGCATGGTGTCTCTTTACCCTAAACCCTAAACCCTAAACGCTAAACCCTAAACCCTAAACCCTAAACTCTATTTTCTATACCGTGGCTTACGGGGCTTCGGGGGCCCCAGCTTCCAGCAAGGTCGTTCAGGAGCTGAATCGCGCGGGCCACGCCGCCGACCTAGCGCAGCCCGGCTGTCAGTAGCACCTGCCGGGGCAAAGAACCCAGAGAACCCAATACCCCTTAATTAAGGAATATACCTTAAATTATAGGGGCTTTAATATTACTAGGTAGGCCTTTGGGACATTTTATATTTCCCCTTATTGGGCTTAAGAGGATCTTGTTTACGAATATTTTTGAGAGGCTTTGAGGGGCCAACCTAGATTATGATTTATAAAACCCTAAACCCTAAACCCTAAACCCTAAACCCTAAACCCTAAACCCTATAAGGTCTATTCCTTATTTAAGGGGTATTGGGTTCTCTGGGAAGCTGAGCCCCTCGCAGCCTGGATCCTGAACCCGACGCCCAGAATCCTTGGTCCCTTAGGGTTTAGGGTTTAGGGTTTAGGGTTTAGGGTTTAGGGTTTAGGGTTTAGGGTTTAGGGTTTAGGAGAGGTAGGCCTTTGGGACATTTTAGATTTTCCTAAATCCAAAGACCTTGCACTGCGAATTCGAAATCTCAAGCTCCAAGCCCTAACACACTCTGGCCTAAGGCCCTAAACCTGAAGCCTTAAACCCAGGATTGGCAAGGCTAGGGTTTAGGGTTTAGGGTTTTGGGTTTTGGGTCTAGGGAAGGGTTGAGGGTCAGGGGTTTAGGGCCCAGGGTTTAGGGTTCCAGGTTTAGGGTTTAGTGTTGGGGGGTAGGGATGCAGGGTTCAGGGTCGGGTTTCGGGATTAGGGTGGGGTTCGGGGTAGGGTTTAAGATTTAGTGAAATTTAGTGTTTAGTTTAATCAAGTTTTCGGGTTTATGGATTTACCTACGGGAGTTCCCTACTCCCCTGCCACATCATCTTCAAGCTGTATAACCCTTGCAGTTGCGCCGATTCCAACCCACAAACCCTGAAAAGGCTGGCCTGCAGTAGGTTCGATTTGAAGTCAATCCCGACTTGACGGATGGAGTGGCCAGCGGTAATCCGGTAAATAGCAGAGCTTCCTTGGGTTTAGAGTTCCGGCCTTAGAGTAAAGGGCTCACGTCATATCAGCAGTAGACGGCGACCCCCGGAACGACGACTGCTGCGACAGTTACTGTCACCTTCTAGCCGTAGCCGCTGATGCTAAGCTATGAATGGCAAAACTGGCGTTAACAACACCACAGTCTAAACGCCAGGAGCAGCATCCAAAGCAATCGCAAGAGTGACAGAACAGGATGATCAAGAACACCATAGCAGAAAGTAGCGGCCAGAACAGCAGCAACCAGAGCAATGACTGGTGTTCGCCGTAGTTATATTACCAACACTTACAGCAATGGTGATTTCTCCGATGTGAGCCAGGTATTACTACATGTCCGTGCAGCCCCAGCTCATGAAGGAGTGTGTCGTCATCATGGGCGTGGCTGGAGACATCGATGAGGAGCAACTCCTTTCCGTCATCTTCAGATCAGAAATGACGGCCCCCATCCCTCAACCGAAACCCCAGGCCCCAAACTCTGAACCGGCTAACCCCTAGACTAGACCCTAGGCCCTAACTGCCGGACATAGTCTTCGCATGTCTTGGCTAATTTTCTTTAATCTTCTTTGGACATCTGCAGGACAAGACATCCCGTGCTCCATGCTAAATTAAGAGTTGTTGAAGCCATTGCACGTGCCGGCTCCAAACCTCAATCGCCTAGCGCAACCCAAAGCGGCCTTGTAGGTGAACCGCCAACCGCTGGCACTGTAGCCCCAAATCCTGACGGCATGGGTTGTTTCGACGAAAGACGAGCGTCGAACGAGAGGACCTCCTCAATGAGAGTGGTGATGCCTCCCCGGAACCTCGTCGGCAGTGCACTCTCCCGACATTTTAGGCGTAGGGTTTGGGGTTCGGGGTTCCCGTCTTTGAAAAGGGTTCTACAAGATGTAAAGATTGCTCTAAGGTGTTGTAAGGGCTTGAACAATTATGGATTGTAGGGTTTCGCCCCTTGGGAGTTGTAGGGGTCCTCTTTCTTCTAGGGACCTTCTCAGACGAAGCTTATTATTCAGGGTTTATACAATTATTGTCTGAAACTAAAGGACGTCAGCTGTTCTGCTGCTGCAGACGCCAGAAACCCGAAACACTAAAGTTCATAATGTAGGGGCCCTTATACTTACCCATGACATGTTGGGGGTTCTTCATTGTATTTTTAGTATGATATGCCCAAAGCCCTATTCTATTTATTAAGGCCCCTACATTAGGTGTAGTAGGTGTACTCTGAACGGCTACCTGCGACTGTGTTGCAGTTAGCAGTTCTTAGCAGCAGCCAGTGCGATGATGCAGATGACAATGCTGATGATGATGCTGATGATGCTGATGATGATGCTGATGATGATGATGATGATGATGATGAGAACGATGGTCATGATGATGATGATGGTGATGGTGATCGTGATGAGGATGATGATGGTGATGATGATGGTGATGGTAACAATGGTGATGCTAGTGCTGATGTTTACATATAAAAACCATGAGGATAAGCGTGACGATGCCGATGTTAGTGGCGGCGACGACGACGATGATCATGATCATCTTCGGCATCATCATCCTTACTCAGCCTCATGATCTGCAGCAGCATCATCGGTTACAGCATCGTCATGAAGATGAAGCGTACCCGTCCGCCAGCCCATCATGCCGCCTTTTGTGGTTGATGTTCGCACCAAGTTGAGCCCTTTGTCGCTTCCAGTTGTAGACTTTAAGCACCTCAAGGCCCGTCGTCGGTCATTCCAATCTACGGTTCCTTTTCGGGAAAGACTGTCATTGCAGACCAAGGCCCCCGATGACGTCTTAAGTGGGCTGGCTAAGACTATGCTCGATGATTTTTGGTCTAGGGTGCTGCGATGAGGTGGTGATCCTGCGAAGTAGCCATACAGATTCTCCAAAACTCCTGAAGTCTGGAGCAAGGAGCCCTTAAACCTTCCGTAACCCGAATTACGCACTCTTCTACCCTAGATCCTAAATCCTAAACCCTAGACCCTAAACCCTAAACCCTAAACCCTAAACCCTACACCAGGGCCCTCAACTAACCCTTACAGTCATCCTTTACGGGACCTCCTTGCGGAGCCCTCTCGAATTTCTGAGTCTCCCTGCACCCTTCTGCCCAAAATCCTATGCCCTGAACCCAAAAATCCTAAACCTCAAACCCTAAATCTTAAAGCCCTTAAATCCTGAACCCTAAACCCAAAGTCCAAAGCCCTAAACTGGCCCATAGACCCTAAAGCCTAAGCCCTACATCCTAAACCCTGAAGCCACCCTGAACCCTGAATCTCTCTCAGAAGCACGCTGTCGGTGCCCAGAGACTAAAATATCCCTTAATTTCGGAATATACCTTGAATTATAGTAGGATCCCTGATATGATTTAAGGTCTATTCCTTAATTAAGGGATATTGGAGTCTCTGGGTGGCCCTAAACCCTAAACCCTAAACCCTAAACCCTAAACCCCCTCCTGAGGAGAAGATCATGGCCGCCTTGCAGGCCAAGCTGGATGCGGCCCACGAGCGCATCGAGGAGCTCACGGATGAGGTGCGCCGGTTTTGGGGTTTCGGGTTTCGGGTTTGGGGTTTCGGGTTTGGGGGTTTAGGGGTTTGGGGTTTAGGGGTTTAGGGTTTAGGGGTTTAGAGGTTTTGGGGTTTGGGGTTTCGGGTTTCGGGTTTAAGGTTTAGGGTTTATGGTTAGGGTTCAGGGTTGGGAGTTTGATGGCTACAAGAAGGTTTGGAAGGGTTTTAGGGGTTGCCATTTTTGAAAGTGGGAGGGTTCGGGGTGCAGGGGTTGGCAGCTCACGGAAGCGGGGCCGGCTGGCCAGAGGAAGACGCCCACCCATGATCATGACCAGTGCGAGTGCCAGAATCACAATCCAGAATCTTCTCATTTGCTGACGCTCATGCTGTTGCTGTTGCTGTCGGCTTTGGTCTTCTTCTTATTATTCCTTTTTTGCTTTTGCTGTGGTTGCTGTCGAGAAGCCCTGCAAAATCATTCGAAAACATCTTAAAACCCCCTGCACCTTACAGACCAACCGAGCAAGAGGTGACCGACCTGAAGAAAAGGCTCAAGCAGAAGACGGAGGAAAGCGAGGACCGGATTTTTCTAAGCTTTTGGGGTTTCGGGGTTATTGCTAGGGTTTGCTTAAGTAGAAGAGTATAGCAGGGTACTATGAGGGGTTTAGGGTTTAGGGGCTCAGGGGTTTGGACTCAGGGTTTTCGATTTCGCTGGTTGTTGCGGGTTGATTCCTGGGCTCTTTAGGCTACCCGTCACGACGCAAAGAACAGAACACTGAACCTAAACCCTGAACCCTCCACCATAGAAAACGTGGAGCCTAAACATGTATTCAGATCTGCGACCATCCAAAGCGCCTGACAGGACAGATGGGGGCACTGGCAGAGGTCGAAGATGCAGGCCAGAGGGAGGGTTCCTGCCAAGGGCTCTATAAAGGTTTCGGTTTAGGGCTTAAGGTTTGGGGATTAGGGTTTGCTTCTTGAAAGGAGTCGAAAAGGATTCAAAAAGATTTCTATATGGGTTCCATAACGGTTCTGGCAAGGGTTCCGTAAGGCTTCCAAAAGACTTCTGAGAAGGCTTTTGTACGGGTTCTACAAAGATTCATAAGTGGATTCTGCCAAGTTTTGAAAAAGGTTTGCACAAGGGTTCTAAGACAAGTGTCTGTCGGGATTCTAGCAGGGTTCTGACGAGGTTTCTCTACAGCACGGGCTCTGAAAAGGTTTCTACAAGGAAAGATGACTTTGAGGTTTCTATACAGGTTCTATTTCTAGCTGATTCTAGCTATCTATCCATCCATACATGCAGCAAGCCCGAAGGAAGCTGGAACGTTCGGTCCCTGATTCCCATACCCTCCACGTTGCTGTGTCCTGCCGCTGCACCCTGCATCCTAAACCCAGCTTTGACCCCCAACCCCCAAACCCTAAAAGCAAAACCCTAAACCTTAATACGTACCTAAACCCTAAACTCCAAACCTTAAGCCCTAATCCCTAAAACCCTAAACCCTGAGCCCTAATCCCTAAACCCTAAACCCTAAAGCCAGCCTTTCAACCCGAAACCCTCGAGCAGAAGAATACGTCTTCCCAGGGTGAAGAAGCGATGCAGAGACTCGACGAGACGACGCGGTGGCCTAGCAGAAGACACCCTAAACCCCTAAGCCCAAACCCCTAAACTTTAAGCCCTAAACCCCTAAACCCTTAAACCCCTAAACCCCTAAACCCAAACCCCTAAGCCTTAAACCCTAAACCCTAAACCCCTCAACCCCTAAACTCCAGAGGGCTCACGCGCGTCGGTAGAATAGGGTCTTCGATGCTTTGAAGCACCTGTATCAGCATTGTAGCATCATCCACATTATTGACCCTCGTTTGCCCCAGTTTGTCTTCGAACGACTTGACGTTGAAAAACTTGGCAGGGCCGATGCTGTCGCATGTTAGCGTTGTTCAACATGGCGTCACCGTTAGGACCAGGATGATATGCGGAGCGAAAAATCGCAAAGAAACCTATGTCCTACGTTTCGGCGCAGAACAAGTTGTTGGTCTTATCAGAGAACTGTCATCGGCATGGATGTACTGGCCAGTGCATGGGTTGGTGGCATGCAGGTTATCATGGTTTGGGCATGGATGCACTGGCCAATGGATGGGTTGGTAGCATAGACGTCATCAGGGTTTGGGCACGATGCAGACCTGAAGAGAAAGCGTGGCCAAACGAGGGTGATCTATCTACATTTATTATAGTATATGAGTTTGTATCATAAATCTCACCCAAAAGCCCATTGTCTACTGTTAAGGCCCCTGTACCGCGGTTTCAGGTTGCTTCTTCCTGGAAGTAGGGTTTAGGGGGCGTTGGCAGCCTCAGTCGCGGCTGTCTTCTTTCCTTTGTGTTGCCTACTATGACTGCTGCAGCGAATTGTATGCCAGAACCCCTCAAATACCCTCCTACATGACCCTGCGTATCTAGCACGAGGGATTCCCAAACCCTCGTCTTTTAGGAGATTAAGAACAGTATATTAGGGTTCATATTAAGAATCCTAATAAAGGCTCAGGGTTTCTTAATCAGGTTCCTACATTATAGGGTTTTCGGGTTGAAAGGTTTGGGTTTTTTTTGGAATATTCGGAATTCAGGTGCTCCTCTGTTTCTGTTTCGCCCTCCGAAGCCCAAAGCTCCTTGATGGTCTTGAAACCCTGAACCCTACTTCCTTAACCCTGAACCCTAAACCCCTAAGCCCCTAAACCCTAAACCCCTAATGTAGGGGCCTTCATAATTTCCAATAGGGTTTTGGGAGTTCCTTCTTAGACTTATAGTGAAATATACCCCTAAACCCCATAAGTATAATATACCCCGAACCTATTCTAATTGTTAAGGCCCCCCATATTCAACCCTAACCCCCTAAACCCCCAAAGGTCCTTGATGCTGGTCTTGGAAAGAGAGGGCAAGCTTGCGGCTGCTTACGCGCCTGGGCTTCGCCCTGAACCCTAAACCCTAAACCCTAAACCCTAAACCGTCGCCGCCTTAGGAAGAGGGTTGCTTCTTCGGTCCAGATGTTTAGGGCTTAGGGTTTTAGGGTTTGAGGGGTTTGGGGTTTAGGGTTTAGGGCTTAGGGTTTTAGGGGACCCCAGCCCCCAAGCCCCAGACCCTAAACCCGAGGGTCTAAGGAGGGTGGCTTTTTCTGCTTGAAGCTTTCGCGTTTCGGGGTTTTTGAAGGTTTTTTTTTGTGTTTTCGCGACTTTTTTTGGGGTTTAGGGCTTCTAGGGCTTCTAGAGCTTCGAGGGCGTTGGATGAGGATTGTGTGTTTCTTTTTGTTCCCGGCAGTTGGCATATGTTGTTGGATTCTCGGACCGTTCTTCATTTAGTGGGTAGATGCGGATCTTGTAGACGGGACATCTTCGCTGGGACGAGGCAGCTTGAGAGCTGCACAAGAAGGGACCGCAGGAGAACCTCGAAATCGTAGGAGCAAGGAGCGCCCCTTTCAATCAGCCTTGACCTCAGAAGTCGTAGTTCTTATTCTTGGCGAAAGCACCAACATCAGCTTGGAGAATGGTTGGGGAGAATGCCTGACGCCTTCAATCAAGAAGGTCAGTAAACCTTTTTTAAACTCTGAGCGCCTGAGAATGTGTTGCCATTTGCGCAGAACGACCTCTACGCCCGGCACAACCGCGCACGGAAGCTGATGATCTACAAGGGCACCCACCTGATGAGGGACAGGCTGTGACTTACCGCTTGGAGTTGCGGGTTTAGGGAGTTAATATAGGGGCCTACATAATTACCTATACTATTTTGGGGGTTCCTTGTTATAAATATAGTGTGTAACGTACCCCAAAACCCTATTCTAATTAGTAGGCCCCTATATTTAGTTCTTTTCGTGTTGTGTCTGGCGTTGTGGGTTTGGGTGCACTGTCTGGACACTGGATATGAGGGCTTGGGCTTGGGTGTGAGGTTACTGGAGTTTAGGGCTGAGCAGTGAGGGTTGGGCCACAGCCCCTGAACTATTCTACACGCTTTGCCCGAAGCCCGAGCCGAAACTGCACATCCGAAGCCCGCCAAAGAATCATACCGAATTCAATTCCCTAAACCCTAAACCCTAAACACTAAACTGCAAGAGCGTCACCGGTATGGTCCTCATATACCGACTACATTGCGATCTGACCCAGAGCCTCTCGGGGCTTGAAACGAACTCGAAGACCCTCCCAAGCTGGGATGAAGGTAATATAGGGGCCTTCATAATTTCAATAGGGTTTGGGGGGGGTATATTCTACTAGAGCTATAATAAGGAACCCCCAATAGGGTTTGGGGATATGTTATACTATAACCATAATAGGGAACCCCCCCCCAAAAAAAAAAACTATTCGAATTATTAAGGCCCCTACATTACACATCTTCAACCTGTGTGGGCCCACCTGCTTCTGCTGCGCCGCCCAGGCCAGAGCCATAGCTTCTGCGCGTGTCTTGGAACAACGGGGTTCAGCGGAATAGGGCGGTTTAAGGTTTATAGGGTTTAGGGTTTAGGCCTTTTACGTTGAACTTTTGCAGCGATCCGGGATGCTGCATGCTCGCGCATGTAGGTGCAAGCATGCATGCAATGCATGTGATGTGTGCATGTCTGCAGCTAATGTGCATCTATGTCCCAGTCTCTGTGTTGATGTCCCAAGTGTTGTGAGAGCACACCCCCCGCAAGTCTGTGGGCTTGAGTTATATATACTTCATACAAACACACATAGATAGATAAGCTGCAGCTTAAAGGCACAACATGTCCCTGTGTCGTCATGTCGTGAAGTCCCGGACAAGAGGTTGGTACCGAATGCGATTGCTCGGACCGGCTTGGTAGGCTCACACTCAACATAAATGGCTGCAACATGCACAGCTCGGCTTCCTAGGGATGTGTCAAGAACCGCAGCTGCAAAGACATCTCACTCTAGACTCCAAACCTATCCCTACGATATCAGTGCACTTACGTATGCACATGTTGCGGTGTGATTTCCAGCTGCACCCTTCAGCCCTACGCCCTACACCCTTTCAAACCCCCGCGAAAACCCTGTAATTAGTAAGTCCACACTCCATTCTGCACCGGAAAAACTGGACAGCAACCCGTCAAGAGACGTCGTTTCATCATTTCGCATGCAAGTCCTCCTACCGATGCCACGCATTGAAGAAAAGCACAAGGCCCCTGGGGTTTACAGCCTAGACAATCAATGTACCAAGAGGCTGAGGGTCCATATACACAGTGTACGAATTGTTGTGGAATTCGGTTCCAAAAACCATAGGTCTTTTGGGACCTAAGGCTATAACGGTAATTCGTCTGTATGGACCCTCTTGGTACGTATGGGCGTCGAGAAAGATCCCCAAGAGCTGATGACACCAGCGCTAAGTCCTAAAGGGCCTCTGCGCTAGGGCGATCCCAGAGAGCCCAGCAAACCTGTAGAATATTTATAGCTTGAGGGCTTAGGCTTTAGGGCTTAGGGTTTGTAAATAGGGTGTAGACTTTATGGCTTTAGGGTTTGAGGGTTTAGGGTAGGGAGTGGTGAAGAGGCTCCGTGCTATGACTTAGACTTTTCTTGGTAATCAACTTGTTTTGTTCAGGAGCATCCCGTGAACCCTTATTAAACCCCCACACCTCAAACCCTAAACCCTTATAAACCCTAAACCCCAAACTCTAAACCCTTGTAAACACTAATCCCTAAATCCTTATAATTATAAACCCCATAAACCCCTAAACCCTAAACCCAAAACCCTAAACCCCTAAACCCTAAACCCTAAACCCTAAACCCTAAACCCTAAACCCTAAACCCCTAAACCCTTATACACCTTAAGCCCCAAACGTCAGATGGCGAAGGGGCTCTCTGCGGAAGTTCCGGCCCGGGCCCCGGAAGCGGACGAGAAATGCCCCGCTCACGGCGACGCTTCAACTCAATCACTGGTAGACCTGGATCCGGTTTAGGGTTTAGGGTTTTAGGGTTTTAGGGTTTTAGGGTTTCAGGGTTTTAGGGTTTAGGGTTTAGGGTTTTTAGAGTTTAGGGTTTAGGGTTTAGGGCATATGTGCCTTCTTAAGGACTTCTATTGGGAAATCATTATGAGGGACCCTCAAAACAAGCTTGTATAGGGCTAAGGTAGGGGCAGTTTGGGGTTTAGGGTTTAGGCCCAGCTTAGGGTCTAGGGTTTAGAGTTTAAGGATCCGTGAAAGAAGACAGGGTTTGGGGCAGTTTGGGGTTTAGGGTTTAGGCTTCAGGGCTAGCCGATAGACCAGCAAGGGTTTTCAGTGGCCAGGAGCATGGCAGGTGTAGCCAGATTTTAGCGATTGATCAAGCGCTGTATAGAGTAGGCCACAGGGTTCAAGGCTTGAGTTTAGGGTTTAGGGTTGAGGGTTTAGGGTTCAGAGTTTAGGGTTTAGAGTGTAGAGTGTAGAGTTTAGGGCTTAGGGTTTACAGTTTAGGGTTTAGGGTCTGTGCAATCCAAAACTCCTTAGACACTGAACTGCAAAACGACAAATCCAGCGTAACTCCCTTCCGATATGTTTGACAGCCCTAAACCCGACGAAGCAGCACAACAACGACAGCAAGTAAGCGTTTGGAGTTCGGCACTTGGGGCTTATAGGGTTTGTGGTTAGGATTGTAGTAAAAAGCTCCAGACCTTAGATGCCATGCAAGATCCTAAGCCCTAACACCTACAGGGTGCAAGTTTTCGTGAACTTTTGGTGGATGGGGACCCATTAAGAAGCGCTGTATGGCATTACAAAGGCCCTGCTCTCTATATGCAGGACCCACCCTCTCCCCCAAACCCCATGCAGCGATGGACCTGTTCCTGGGTGAAGAGCACGTGGCCACGTTGGCCCAGGAACTGTGCCGGCGCCTCTACAACCATCCGCTGAGGGCACCAGCATCCCTTGATAAAGGGTCCCGCCCTCCCCAACTGCAACCCGCTACAATAGCAACTGTGAGGTTTCAAAGTCGAAGTTTGTTCGACAGCTCCCTCCGTCTTCCCAAAGCTTACGGTGGGGGGGTCTTAAAGGCCTTCTTGACGTTGCCGTCGACATCGACGAAGATCCTGTCGGATGCTGCATCTAGGGCTCAGTCATCGTCGGTTTCATGGTCTGGGATTATAGACAACATGGTGCAGGGATGGCTTCGAAAGCAGATTTGTGGATGGGAAGGCCACCTACAGGTCCAGAGTCCAGCAGCAATAACAGTGAGCTTATCACTTCTTGGCCAACTACATGCGAGAGCACAGTAATTGCACTAGCACTGGTAGGAGGAGTCGTTGCAATGGTCGCAGCAGCAGTTCTGGTGGTAGTGGTAGTGGTAGTGGTAGTGGTAGTGGTAGTGGTAGTGGTAGTGGTAGTGGTAGTCGTAGTAGTAGTAGTAGTAGTAGTAGTAGTAGTAGTAATAGTAATAGCAGTAGCAGCAGCAGTAGCAGTCCCGGAAGGTCACGACTCTCGTTTCCTCTGTCTTGGTCTTGACTGAACGCCTGGCTACATGGCAACCCTAAACCCTAAACCCTAAATCCCCCTAAACCTTAAACCCTAAATTATAAACCCTAAACCCTGAAGCCCCGCAGTGAGTAATGCTGCCGTGTCACACAGTGATCTCCGAGAAGCCATGCCTAGGAGTTATATAGCTTTGGGTTTAGGGTTTAGGGTTTAGAGTTTAGGGTTTAGTATTTAGGGTTTAGGGTTTAGGGTTTAGGTTATATAACTGCCCCAGGACAGTACACACTTGCTGCGTTCAGTTTCAAGGGTTAGAAGTTGTTCAGGGTTCGGGCCATCAGGGTTTAGGGTTTGGGGGAAGGATATGGGGCCAGAGCACAGCAAGGATAGACCGTGTAGTAGGACTCCAACCATGACATACTGCAACAAACAGCCATAAGCGCTGTCAATGTGAGCATTGGCCTTGTGCCGATGCTCAGGTCAGTATGGCAATGACAACCCCAAACCACTAACCCCGAGACTAGACCCAACCCGA